AGTCATCAAAGTATGATGATTGAACTGGGACGGCTGGCGTCGTCCTTTAATCCAGCTACTAGGGGGTCACGAGTTTTGGATATTTAAACTTTAATACTTTACAATGAAATGTCGTACCATACAATACCATACAAAGCAGGTATTTTAAGCCAAGTGACATGCACTGTCGATGCAATACTCCCTGGTGTGGATTAACGTCCGCACTAGTGAGTACTATGACTATCCGCAGTACTATACTGATAATTAGACCAATTCGTATATACCAAGGCAAAAGTGTGGTTCGGATTCCACTATCCTAGTTGCCATTAGCTGTATGGGCTATTAATTAACAGCTGTGTCTAAGGAATATGTCGGCCTTAGTCACTAACAAGACTACAAGATCGCGCCACTCATCCTACACTCATCTCCATTCATACTTGGCTTAAAATACCTACTTTGTATGGTCACCAATTCATTGAAAAGTATTAAAGATGGAGACAGGGAGGAACGTAGTTGTGTCCTTGCTTGGACTGGTTGTCGGAGACTTATCCATTTTCATGGAATTGTTATCCCAAACTAATGGTGACAAATTTTAGAATATTCTACCATGGGCGTCGTTTAATTCTCTCAGTCAACGCCGGTTGGACCTGGTGATGGTGGTCACACAACAACTGCAACATTCTTTCTTCTGCTTTTCAAACATCGTGCATATATTTACCGTCTTGTAATAGTTTACATCATACCTGTAAATATATAGTGTTGAAAGATAGAATTTTCTATCGTTTCAGATTTGAAGACTACAGCATTTTGAGTTCAGATGAAATGAGTCATTCAGTGGCAGATGGGACATAAGGTGATAGATGTAATCTCAGGCTGGCAACACGCTCGGTCAAACAAAGCTTTACGTTTAACTTTTATGATGTTGCAAACTACATGGTTGCAATCACAAAATCGTATTTACAATTTATATATATTTTTTATAATATAAAATTCTTACGATTTATTTCCGTTGATACAACGATTTTATAAAGGGGCCCAACAATATGTTCATAGGGTGCTTCAACTCCGCGGCTTAATCCTTACATAACAACAATATTTTACTACTTGTAAGCCTACAGTTCTGCCTAGGACGTCTGAAGGTTCAGTTGTAATTACACCTCTCTCTCTGTGCCCAGCATTACATCTCGACCGAACAGCGTTGTAGCCGACTCAGCCGGCTCAGGTGGCAGCTCACTGTTCAAACCGTTAATTTAGTCAATTAACGATAGCCCGGAGTGTTATTAGCCTGTAAGGTGAGAACCCTCTATATACTATAGGTGATTAGTTCTGGACAGACACTCGTGCTGTGTCCTACAAACAAACAAGGCTTTGTAACTGTAGTACAAAACACTCTTCCTGTCCAGGTGTGAGCTCGTCTAGTGGTCGAGCGCTTGAATTCGTCCCAGAAGTATAGGGTTCTGATCCCACCAATCATAAATAAAATTAGTTCAGGTCTAGCCAAATAAAAATTTGTAAAACGGTTCCGGCTAGAGTCTAGTGTCCTACACTAGGTGGGACGTTATGACATAAGAGGACAAAACACTCTTGCCTTAGATAAAATCGTTGACTTTTAGGGGTTCAAGCAGACTCCTCATCCTGTAGTGGTATACTTTCAAGGTCGAAGTCGACTGTCCAATCTTGGTTTTCAGTAGGTGACCGCGTTGAATTGGGGAAGATAGCAGCCAACGTTACCGATGCGTTTCAGCGATCCATCAAAGTTCAATACCACCACCGACTTTTCTTGATTTCAGTTCTTTTTTTACCTGAAAAAGATATACGTCTAATAACACTAGTAATAATATATTTACACTTATACTGTTGAATCACAAGACGGTAAATACATATGAAAGATGGTAAGTGGTGATAGATTTCGATTGGACACTCCAATCATAATCAGACCCATTAGGCGAATTCATCTAGTGTTATTAGAAGTATAATTTGTTTGTTTTTTTTCAGGTAATTTAATAACACGTACGATGCTGATCAAGAAGTTATTATTTTTTTACTAACTGAACTTCTTTCTCATAATTTCTTAAGCCTGTGTTGGTGTGTTTCATGTTGATAATGTTTCAGTGCGGTTATGTCGTCTTAATGTTTCTCTTTTATTTTGGGTTATATATTACGATGGGTGCTTGTTGTTACATTCATAACGGAGGGCAAATTACTTATGATATTAACTGTTATTGGGTTAGAAATTATAATCGTTTTTAAGTCAGTAAAATTAACACGAAACAAATGGATAAATAACAATGACTTCCGTTAGTATTACAGGAATAATAGTAAATAGTCTTCAGTTGATCAATAATGATGATAAATCTATAATGGACTATTGTATGGGGAGATGTACCATCTATACCTCATAGTGCGTGCCTCTATAAGCCTCTATGTACATTGTCGGATTCGCTAAGCTGAAAAGAATACTTATTGTAGGCTACCAAAGTGAATTTAGAGTCATAGATGATAAACCTATTTCTGTATTCAAAGTCCATAAGGTTATAATTTAAGTTAATTAATTTCAATTTCATCTCTCCAATGACTCGCGCGTGTATCTGGTTTTATACTTTACAGTACAATATTTTCAAAGATAATCAGATGTTGAACGTTGTATCACTTGCACAAGACAGGTTCATAACTTGACGTCAAGTCGTTGGATTTACATTTTATTGCTTTTTGGCCGAGTTGCGTGTGCAGAGGCAATTTGTAATTTAACCAGCAATTTCAGCCGACTCACTTAAACACGATATAGATAGGACTAACTCCAGGATTATACAATTTTATGAGAAGACTATTGCTTATTGCTATTGCTATTGTAGGAAATTCAATTACTTTAATTGCAGTTCTATTCAGTGATAGCAATGTGGCCAATCGGTTTTAAGTTTACTTTATGGTATGTTCAGTGCTTTATTGTATAAGTCACTTGATTACTCACTTATTCATGACCTCTTTCAGAAAATATATGATTTAATTCAATTCAATTCATTTATTCAGAAAATATTAAACATTACAGTTCACTTTATACATGAAATAATCTGAATTAGGTCCCTGCGAAGCTAAGCTTGAGTGCAGGGACCGAGTCGCAAACATCAAGTGAAATAACTGTATAACAACAAATACATAGAATATCAATTACATTAAATTGTGACAAAAATATATTACTATTAGCTATATTATTTTTTGCATATGAACTATTATAATAATTCTAATAAATAATTACTACATCTATGTAATAGAATGGTGTGGTAATGATTACGATTACAGTAAGTTGGTCCACATAGATGGAATGTCTATTAAATTATCCAAAGATGCTTTTACATTGGATCTCGGTTCCAAACCAACGAACTATATTACTTCTAAACTAGACATGCGTATTTGTAGAATATAGCCTATTTGTAGAAGTTAAACAGTTTTTTTCTGTTACTACACTGTTATTTCTGTTTCAAAATTTTGTGTAATTGCAATCTCGTTGTTATACAGTGTATTTACCTGTAATGGTGAGTCAGTGGCTCAGTCGGTAGCGTCGCGGACTTCGGGCCCAAGGCAGCGATGTCGTGGGTTCGGATCCTGGTCACTGCCACTAACTTTTATCAGTACAGTTCACCTTTGTTCTGTACCGGCTCACCCGTTGCTTTGCTGGATACGTTCCACGCACAGATCTGTAGTCTATGTGGACGGGCAAATACAAGGTTAAAAGAGGCCGCCAACCTCTTAAAAAAAATATAGGCATGCACTGTGGATGCGATACTCCCTGGTGTGGATTAACGTCCGCACTAGTGAGTACTTCGACTATCCGCAGTGCAACCCTAATAATTATACCAATTCGTTAATAGGCCTACCAAAGAAAAAATGTGGCTCGGATTCCACTATAAACTGTAGGTCACTTAGCTTCCATTATAAGGAGTGTTAAAAGTATAAAGTTACGGTTGCCATCCTGTTGTTTTTGTCGTGTGTTCAATTCTATTTTTTATACTTTTAATACTTTTCATTGAATTGGTGACCATACAAAGAAGGTATTTTAAGCCAAGTATGAGTGGTGATGAAAGTAGGATGAGTTGAGCTATATTGTAGTCTTGTTAGTGACTAAGGTACGATTGGTTTTGTTTTCGTTAGACACAGTTGTTAATTTATAGCTCATACAGCTAATGGCAACTAAGGGACCTACAGTTTACAGTGGAATACGAACCACACTTTTGCCTTGGTATTAAGGAATTGGTCTAATTATCAGGAAAGTACTGCGGATAGTCGCAGTACTCCCTAGTACGGACTTTAATCCACATCAGGGAGTATCGCATCCACAGTGCATGTCTATAAATATCCACAATGTTTATAATGTTGGCTAACGCTTGCCTTATTGTTGTTATACTGTTGCCATCCTGTTGTTGTATCCTGTTGTTTTTTTGTCGTGTGTTCAACTCTATTTATAATTTTGGCTAACGCTTTCCTTATTGTTGTTATACTATTATTTTTTTGTGACCAAGCCAGTGCTTCTCTTCTTCTTCGTTACGTTCCAATCCAGACAGCCGAAACCCTACTCCTAAAGGAATCTGGCTGTGGAACCTTCAGCCAGGGAAAGGATAGCAGCAGTAGCAGAGACGTGTAAATAACGAGAGAGTGTGTAACTACGAAGCGCTATTCTGCCACTACTGCCTGTTGTGGTTGGGTTGAGAGGTACTGTATTTGTTTTATTGAAGATAGTTCTACGGTTGGATTGTGGTTTTCGGGCAGGGTGGTTTGGTTTTGGTTGGGTCGGGTGTTGCGGCCAGTGGAATTTAGTCATATACACTTGGACTTGGACAATGAAACAAATGTTTTTAAGAAAAATCCTTCCAACCCCATCAAAGTTTTTTAGGATATGTCGGGAATCGAACCCGCCCCTCCCGCTCCGAAGTGAGCGACGCCAACCACTAGGCTAGCAACACGCCCACTGTTGTTATGTTGTTGTTGTTGTTGCTGCTGTTGTTGTTATACCTTGTGTTTGTTGACAGGTCGGGTCGCATGTTCCACTCACCAGAGTCGCTGCACCTCCACCTCCTCCACACCAGCATTATTTCTCACAGGTAAACATACTTTTAAATACATTACATCTTCTTTTAAAAGGTAAAGAAAGATGTTACGCACTTAAGCCAATCTATCTTTTTTCGCACACATATATCCTATTCCATTCTGGATTATTTCTATTTCCAGGCATCCACTAGGCCTCACAATCTCATATCCTTCTCATCTCATTCCTTTCTTCTCCATATTCCTCTTCGACCCGACTATCCACCACCTTCTGTGTCTTCGTCTCGTCTTCTCTCTATCCTCCAACTCCATTTTTCTAGGAATTCTCTCTTCTCAAACGTCCGAACAATGTAAACACAAAAGGAGTGGAGCAAAAGCAACTTAGCTATTACTCCTAAGTAGGCCTCTAACCAGAAATACATTTTTAACTATTGACCTTTATTTTATCATTTTGGTTGGTTTGGTTTGGTTATTTTTTTGTTTTGTTTGTAAGAATCGTTTCTTTTGTATTTTTGTGTTTTGTTTTTATAATTTTTATATTTCTAAATACACCAATGTGGTTTCAGGAAAGACATCAGTGCATCTACAATAAACTAAATTGGGCAAAGGTAAAATATTATTTTATTTTATTTCATAGTTATTCTTACTAACAAAAATATTTAGATTTGTCGGAGTTTTGCTTTACTAATATACTACAAAACTAACATGGGTTGAAATTCAGTCCCCCTATCCCATCGATCACCAATCTTGGTCTTGTGTCATCGCTGTCCTATCCTAAGTTTTCGTCAATTTAAGTCCTATGGTTAGCTTTCCAAATGCGTCTTGCATTACAAAAAAATCGTAACTATAAACCATGTACCCGTTACATACTTAAATAACGTGGATGTATTTTTAATTTTATATATATATACTCATAACTAGTTTGGAAAATATTTTTAAAACACTTTGGAATAAAAAAAATAACTTACATATTTTAACCATGTAAAACCCGTTCTAATATGCTTTGTGACCGATATTTAAATTTTTTAGTTAGTTCCCAACTCCAACTCACACCTGATCATTTTAATTCAAAGTATATTAAATTTAATCAAAATAATTGTAATTTCCCATTTGTAAAATCAATGACCCGTGCCTAAAATGACTTTTGTAAATAATTTAAACCAGAAGTGAAGTTTAATTTCATTCCCAAGACAATAGCCTATATTGGCCTCGCTGTGGTATTTAACATGCATGCAGTGTTGGGTGCTAGAAGGGGTTGAGGGTGGATTAAATTAGACCTCTGAGTTTTGAGCTCTCGGTTTATCCTCTTAGGTTTTTTCAACTTATTCCGCAATATGAGCAAAAACATTTGCAATGAGACTTATGCGCAGGATTTTTTGTATTTGCTTTTATGGATTGAAGATATTGAATGGGCTTTGTTTTAAGCGTAAACTTTTAAATCTGTTGCGATTCAAAAACTACAGTAGTAGTGGTATCCTACTAGGATCTGTTTGGTCAAATTTAAATTGTAATAGCAGTTACATAATACTACACCGATCATTGTAACTAATAGTTTTTCTCCATGAAGTAAGTTCGTCTTAAACATTCATTCATACTGCAGAAAACACGGATGTTTAAATACTAAATACGTTTGTGGGGGAGGAATTAGATTGGCCCCTGATTATAGGGCTTTATGTAAAAGATCCTGCCTTATGAAACAGCTGATCTTAGTCAGTAACACAGCTACACAGATCATCTCACTTCATTCTAGACTCATTCCATTCCCTATCTTCACTCATATTTGGGTTAAAATACGCATACTAGGTGGCGTCCCCATTATTACATGTCAATTAATTGATAATTGAATTGACAATTGATCTTGTTAACCTTAGGGTGAGAAATAACCACGGGAGTGGAAGGCATTAGCGGTATATGTTTCTCTTGGTAACTGTGTCCAATGATTTCTCAAAAGGGGACTTCAGTTTTACCGTCGTGTCAAGTTAAATATTTCATTTTACAAAAATATATATACTAATTGGATTTCAATATTTTAGTAATTTAATTTATTAATAAATTGGAGGAGTAATATTTTTTTGACTCTTAATTTCTTCAAACGGTAACAATGGTTCGTTTATAATAGCAAAACAAGATACAGTATACACCTTATTTTTGAACCAATCTTATCAAGCCATATACGATATTTTTAGCTTTGTATAATAGTTGCATTAAATTGAATATTGATATGGCAAAAAAATCTGCATGGGAAAATATTTAGTTCATCACACGAAAAGTATCCTACCTTTTTGGCGTTCAGTTCTTGGCATGGACAGTTGAAAAACCTTAGCTCACGTTGAAAAGACGCATGCTAATAAATATATGGAAAAATAACTTAGATATAAATAATAATTGCTGCTCGGGATAACCAACCCCTGTGGATGGATGTGAATGTAATGCACGTTAAAATCACAACAAACAGAGTATTGCAATAAACTTGTGTCATGTTTTGGCTTCATAACTTACTACTAAAGTGACCATTTTCAAGATGTTGCTAGAATTTCTTTTACAACGCCTTAAATGTTACAATGCCAACAAACGTCGTAAAAATGTCAACACTTCAGTTGCAAGTCGTGAAAAGTAGTGCAACGGCATCGTAGTAGTTTGTTAGGAAGCGGTCCAAACCCTGGGTGCAGCGTACGTAGCTGTGACACTTGGCAGCCGGTTGGCTACGTCTCTTGTCTCTTTGTACCAAACCATACTGGAATTACTTTTGTTTCAGGTTGTAAGGTAAGCTATTTTGAACCAACCACTGCACTGTTTGCACTGGACGCTTATACACACCCCACATTAACGTATGCACATTCGAGATAAATTTAATTTAAACCATTTAAATATCTACCGCTTTAAGTAACATATTTCTTGCAACAACAGTGTGCATATATTTTACTTACTTCGTTCACAATATTTAGGTGGTTTGAGGGGAAGTTCCCCCACCACTTTTTTGTATTTAATGTATGTTGCTTAGCCGTTGGGCTATCATTTTAAAGGTACAGTAAGGGTCAAGTGGAGGGGATAGACTTCTTCCCCTAAAACCGCCTAAATATTGTGAAAGAAGATACACAAACAATACTATGATTACCTACTTTGACAAATATGGTTTTCACTGTGCACAAAGATAAAATCCGTGTTCACTGGTCATCCATAAATGACAGGGGAAATTTTGCAGCCCTAGAAACAAATTTTTTTATCTTAGAAGAAATCTATTATTTCAGAAATGGTGATAGTATAATTTTGTTCAGGTTGGTTATTGAAGTGTGTATTTCGCACCAACTAACAGTACTAAATAAACTATATATTAGTATTATAGCGGCATAAATACACCATACATTTCTACACATGATAATTTATAAAAAAATGAAATCAACTACTGTATGTCCAATCTTATTCAATCAATCACTAACCATCAATCACTAGTATAAATATTATTAAACATCTAAATATTTGAAAAATAAAAGTAATCTTTTTATATTAGTACTTGAACCTAACAAACCCTTAGAAAGTGCAAACAATCTATTACAAAATGTAGCTTTGGTTGTGTTTTGGCAACAGGACAACAAAATTGCCAAATGTTCAAGATGTATTGGTTGCTTGAATGTCTTCTTATGAACAATGTCCCTTCTTTTATGAAACAAAGCATTTCCTCTTCTCTGAGATTTTGTTTTGTGTCTTTCAAAAGTTACAACAAAAAGTTGTTTTTCTCACTTCCTTAAGGAATTTGAAACTTGCTTCCTCCTTTTATGTTTTGATATGTGTTTTGGGGGTGTGAGTTGATTTTGTATGTAAGGTTACTAGTGTTTATATTAAGTTAAGGTAATTATTTGTTCATCAACATTTTGCATAACAAATATTGTTTGTATAAACAACTCACCCCAGATTTTTTCAACCCTTAAAATTTGGTTTTATGTATATTTTGTGATGTTTGAATCGGGATCATTGTATTGCTGCATTCATATGTACAAATGGAGTGTTGTACACGGTTTTGTTTATTATTACTATTTAAGTGTCTGCAATGCAATATACATAAATTGCAATAAACAATATACATATTTTATATTCATTTATACATTGTTTGAAAAATATTTCTCTAAGTTGAAAAATTTAAAGTTGATTATTTTTTTTGAATTTTTACTTTTGCCATTGTATACTCATGAGTTTGTGCTTCTTAAAAATTTCAATAACTTTATACAATGAACATAAACACTTATTTTATTGTATAAAATGGGGTGCTTTGACGTATTTTTAATTCACAATAGTCAACCTAATAAACCAACATGCTTGTAAAAGAGCATTTGCCGTTAAGCAAACATAAAAGCTTGTGCTATAGAAAGTTAGTTACAATCAAAAGAGTAGCATTTAGGTGACATCTACATACAATGTTGCCATCAAATGTGCATCATAACAATTAATCTTAACAATAGTATATGAGCTGCTCCAAAGCCAAGAATAAAATTAGATGAAACGTTACAAAATTAATTACAACTCACAGCTGTCAGATTAATTAAGCATTGCTTTAATTGTGAAGCAAAGTTGGTTTATATTCAAATTAAATAAGTTTCAGATTAATGGCAGTTGTAAAATATGTTTTATACTGCTCCCATTACTTTGTTTAATTTTATTGTCAGAACCCTTCAAGCCTATAATTGCTTTGGTGTCTATTTAAAGCACCCTATCCAATGAGACCAAGTAAAAAAAGATGGAATAAAAATTAACTGAACCTATAATGTTTTTTTTTCGTAAAATTAGGTGGATGCGGCTAAGATAGTCAGGTTTGCCTTGTTTTACAACTAAAAATCGTGATATTTCAATTATTTGTTATTAGATATTTTTGAACCTAATGTCCTTGATAGGTAAATTTAAATACTAACAAATAGTGTTCTTAAAAATTGTTCATAAACCAGCCATTTTTTTGTACCTAATTTAAATTTAAAAATTTTAAATGACCGCCATTTTGAAATTTTGAACCCAAGAACAACGCAAATTTTGTCCCTTTTTCGAACATCCTGTATAATGTTTGTTAATAATTTTTTATTTATTTTGAGCGTTGAGAGTTGAATAATTTTGTGACACATTTCTACGCTCAAAAATAACCAAAGCAAGAATATATTTTTTGATGAAAGTAATAGCATTTTAACTATTGTTGATGGCATTTCCATCAAGAAGTAATGTTTGCATCATGCCGTCATGGTGTATTTGTGGGTACAGTGGTTGGGAACAAGCCAAACCCTAGGTGCAGTGTCTGTCTGGCTTGACATCTGCGGCTTTGTATGATGATAAATTGGGATTATTTTTGTTTTCAGACAAAATTGGCTATTCTACAGTTTGCTACATTTCCTTTGGGCATGCAAAGATTTAAACTGGCATACTCACGTTAGGAAAGGTTAGGTGTTTCTCACATGGAGCACTCTGTCTCTGTGACTCCTTCAACTCATATTTATACACGTTTTAGTAATAAGTCAATTAAAATTCTTAACAGTTTGTTGGGTATCAATTTATGTTAGATAGTGGCAAATCCAAATATGGTTTTAAAATGCTATTCGTGTAGAAACTCGTTTACAATTAGTGGATGATTGTGTTCTAGATTATTGATTAGTTTGGTACAGTTCCTAAGTCTTAAAAAGAATGTATACCCTGCTCCATTGGGAATTTGCCATTACATTTTAACTCAGAGTAATAATACATAAGTGCTTTCTTTGAGATTATAGTGAATTATTGTAAATATTTACGTTTTTCCTCAAGCTGGGGAAAATTGAGATATTCTTTGTATAGTTTGAAAACTGGCTCAGTAACATAAGCCTATCATTTTATTAGTGGGGTAAAATCGTGAAGGTAATCCAGGGAAATAAAATTTAATTCAATTAAAAATAGTTGCAATAAAAAAATTCCATTCGTAGCGGCAAAAGATAACACCCTGAAACAAACTGAATCATCTTGAAGCTATCAAAAAATGCAAGGCGGAAAGATTGAAACTAAAATGAAGCCATTATGTATCTGAAAGACAAAGGACTCAAACAATAGTTCCAGTTCCACTATGAGATGGATTCAAAGCAACAAGCTTTAGTTGCTTTTAGGGACTTTTGGAGGTTTTATTAAACTCAAACTTGTATGATGGAAAAGTTAACGTAGAACTTTTTCTCAAAATTAAATATGCATTTTAGATTTTAATTTACCTTATAGATTAAACATTAAAAGTCTATCTGTTTCTTAAAATGTCTCACTGAATGTTATCAACCTTTAATTTATATGGATTTTAGGTCAGGATTTTAAAAATATGTTCTTAATCAGCATCGTACGTGTTATTCCCTTTGAAGTCGAATTTTTTCCCAATTTTTCATATAGTATAGTTCATATAGTCATATAGTACAGTATAGTTTGCCATTCAATTAGTCGGGGAAATGGTGCCCCGCGACTTGTACTCACCATTTGACCGCAAAGATAAACTTTTTAGATTTCTTTTTTGTGAGTATAGGTCGCATTTTTTGAGCAGTCGGGAAAATGTAGGGCGGCGAACTATACTCGTCATTCGACCTCAAAGGGTTAAAATACCTGAAGTTACAAAAAATATTTCAAATAACATTAATAATATATTTACTGTAATATTATATTTTTTATTATATATATACTGTTTACTCACAAGACGGTCATTTTACATTATAATAGCCAGTAAGAAGTCCATTGTTTATTTCAGTTGCAATGTAAAAATGTTTTATAATCTTTGTACAATATCAATGAGAAATAACAGTCAATTGATTTGACTGTCTATATTTCAGATCTCCGCAGCTCTAGCAGTGTCGCTGGGCCCGTTTGCCGCAGGTCTGGGTAAAGGCTACAGTTCCCCAGCGATAGCATCGATACAAGAGAAACAACAGTATGCTCTTCACACAGGCAACTACAGCGGCACCTTTCTAGTCTCACCGCAGCAGGCCAGCTGGGTGAGTGGTAAAACTACTCTGAAACAGTTTCTATAATATCAAAAAGTTAATGAATTGCAATAAAAAGCTAGTGGACTCAGATTTGGCATTTGGTAGTGTAAACAATCAAAGTGAGGCCCCACTACTAAACATTTACTTGCCCCTCCCCTAATTGCCATTGTTGCTCATGCTCATAGGATGTTAAATTTCTGCTATTGCGGCAACATCGGTCATCAACCCCCACAATCGTGCCACAGCAATCGTAACGCTTTTTACTGTTCCAGCTGTTAGTATAACTAGGTGGCGTTCGCAGAGGCATCCACAAAATTGAGCGGAGTCATCAAGGGTTCATATTATATTGTTTTTGTCTTACTGCAGTAAAAACAGTATTTTTTCATGCATGCGCTGCGGGTCTAAAGTAGCATTTTTAATATTTAGGGAGTAAAAATCGTTTTTAGCCTCTATGGAGTAAAAATCAGCTGTTGTCAACTCAGTTGTAAATTTCGATTGTAAACGATTGCATGTATCGAAAATATGTATCGATTTGTGCTTCGTAATCATTTTAACATATTACAGTCTACAGTCTCTTCCCGTAGCATTTTAGCATTGCAGATACATTAATCCATTCCCAAACTCAACACTGCTCACCTTTACTACTTCCTTCACCACACCCCACGTCGTGGACCTGTTTCCCTCTCTTCCCATAGCATTTTAGGATTGCAGATACATTAATTTAATTGCCAAAGACAGTTCCCACACTCTGCGCTGTTAGCCTTACTACTTCCTTCACCATTTACTACGCAACAAATTGGAAATGGACATTACAAAATGTCATTTTGTAACCCAAACATTCTTCAAGTGTCTAATTTCATCTGTCGTTTGAACACAGAACTCTGCTACAATTAGATAACTATGATGCCATGTAACAATCACTAGATCTACGCTATCTGTGTATAATACAATAAAATTCCATATAACCTGTATCAAGAGACGCGTGTATTGGTTAATCAACAGAATATGATCATCGTCGTAGTGGTTATTTCATAGTTCATTGGCCTGTTTCCTTCCTTTCTCATAGCATTTAAGTATTACAAATTCATTTATCCATCTGCTCAAACGGTTCCCCCACTCTGCACTGCCAGCCTTTACTACTTCCTTCACCACTTACGTCGTGGACCTGTATTCATCGCTTTCCATAGCATTTTAGTATTTTAGATACGTTAATCTAATTGCAACAAACATCCCCACTGTCCGTACTGCTAGACTTTACTACTTCTTTCACAATTTCCTATGTCTTGGGCATGCTTCCATCCCTTCTCATAGCATTTCAGCATTGCAGATACATTAAAACTGCTACAAACGGTTTCCAGTTCCCACACTCCACACTGCTCACCTTACTACTTCTTTCACCTGTTTCTACGTCGCGGATCTGTTTCCCTCTCTTCCCATAGCATTTTAAGATTGCAGATACCTGAATCTAATCGTCATAAACAGATCCCACACTCCGAACAGCTCGCCTTTACTACTTCCTTCGCCACTTCCCACATCGCGGACCTGTTTCCCTCCCTTTCCGTAGCATTTTAGGAACGTTGTGACCTTAATCTAATCGTCATAAACAGTTTCCATACTCCAGACTGTTCACCTTTACTACTTCCTTAACCTCTTCATACGTCACGAACCTCAAGCTAGTGTCGTCATTTGATTATAGTACCTGGGGACCGAGCTTTGCTCGGGGAAAATCATTAGTTCACTCTGAAAGCACCGTAGTATTGGAGATGCATAAATCCACGCATCTACATCCTACACAATTTCCTACGTCATGGATCTGTTTCCCTCCATTCCATTGCATTTAAAGATTGCAGATACCTTAATCTAATCGTCATAAACAGTTCCCACACTCCGGACTACTCGCCTTGACTACTTCCTTCACCACTTCCTACGTCGCGGACCTGTTTTCCTCCCTTCCCATAGCATTTTAGGATTGCAAATACCTTAATCTAATCGTCATAAACAGTTCCCACACTCCGGACAGCTCACCTTGACTACTTCCTTCATCACTTCCTACGTTGCGGACCTGTTTTCCTCCCTTCCCGTAGCATTTTAGGTTTGCTGATACCATAATCTAATTGTCATAAACATTTCAAACACTCCGGACAACTCGCCTAGACTACTTCCTTCACCACTTCCTACGTCGCGGACCTATTTTCCTCCCTTTCCATAGCATTTTAGAATTGCAAATACCTTAATCTAATCGTCATAAACAGTCCCCACACTCCGGACAGCTCACCTTGACTACTTCCTTCATCACTTCCTACGTCGCGGACCTGTTTTCCTCCCTTCCCGTAGCATTTTAGGTTTGCTGATACCTTAATCTAATTGTCATAAACATTTCCAACACTCCGGACAACTCGCCTAGACTACTTCCTTCACCACTTCCTACGTCGCGGACCTATTTTCCTCCCTTTCCATAGCATTTTAGGATTGCAAATACCTTAATCTAATCATCATAAACAGTTCCCACGCTCCAGACAGCTCGCCTTGACTACTTCCTTCACCACTTCTTACGTCACGGACCTGTTTCCCTCCCTTCCCATAGCATTTTAGGATTGCCCATACCCTTATCTAATCGCCATAAACAGTTCCCTCACTCCTGACAGCTCGCCTTGACTACTTCCTTCACCACTTCCTACGTCGCGGACCTGTTTCCCTCCCTTCCTATTGCACTTAAAGATTGCAGATACCTTATTCTAATCGTCATAAACAGTTCCCGCACTCCGGACTACTCGCCTTGACTACTTCCTTCACCACTTCCTACGTCGCGGACCTGTTTTCCTCCCTTCCCATAGCATTTTAGGATTGCAGATACCCTAATCTTATCGTCATAAACAGTCCCCACACTCCGGACTGCTCGCATTTACTACTTCCTTCATCACTTCCTACGTCACGGACCTGTTTCCCTCTATTCCCATAGCATTTTATGATTGCCTATACTACTTCCTTCACTACTTACTACGTCACGGACCTGTTTCCTTCCCTTCCCATAGCATTTTAGGATTGCAGATACCTTAATGTATTCGTCATAAACAGATCCTAGACTTCGCACTGCTACCCTTGACTACAATGTATCGAGTAATCTTAAGTATAATCTTTGCTCAATATTAACATGTGATGTTTTTCCCTTTGTACTGTATTTGTAATTTCCTAGTATACTGTGGGTAGTTGGCTTATTATGAGCACATGCTAAAACTTCAAATCTTTTGTTTACTTTTTACTTGTTATTTAATTCAGCCAACATGGTTACCTAGCAACCCATAAGACTAATGTTAAAAAAATTTGATTTTCAGTTTCATTTTTCTACGGATTCCTGAGAGACTTTTTTAACGCTATATAGATGTTGGCACTCACCGATATGGTCTTTATCACCATGCAAAATTTGAAAACGATTGATTCAGCCGTCTAGGAGGAGTTTGCGTATTACGAAATGCATAAAAGACGACGTATAAGAGCTTCGCTCGCTTCGCTCGCTCCGCTCAACGAGGTCATCATCTTGATCATGTTCAGTGATCGTGATTTTTTATTTGACGAGACATCGCAAGAAATAAGATCAAGAGACTGTGATTTTTGGGTAGTATTAAAAAACATAATTTGCCAAGACTTTTATTAATTTGTGTTTGTTTTTGCTGGACAAGTCCCCCTTTGCGGGGCCCTGTGCAGCCACAGCTCTGGGTTGATTTTCATGAATTTCCATCCCATAGGAACTACTGATCTGATATAGATATAGGTTCACTTAAATCACTTAAATCACACAGCACTGTACACAGAATACAGATTGAACAACAGATCGTGATTGTGATTATGATTTGTTGTTGATTGTGTACAGATTGTACACAGAATATTTACATTATTATAGATCTACAGGACCAGTTAAAACATGTGAGACCAAGATGTATCTATCAATTCATAGAGTTAAATGTAAAAAAATATTAAAAATATGGTTTGCATTGGCCCAAAAAAATGGAAACATTGCCCCTCATTTATTTTAAAACCAAATCTGACTCTCTAAAGTTAAAGTAAATAATCACATGTTGAACCAACCTTGAGAAATGTGACAAAACATCACAGTTCTCTGTCTAACGGGTAAGTAAAGGATAGTGACAATTTTTTATTAATTCACAAGTCTCACACTACAGGCTGGTCAACTGTATGTGTAGAAGCATTTTCCCTCCCCCTCTTAAAAAAGTTAACCCTCGAGCGGGCGCATGCGGAGTTTTCATCCGCGCTTATATATAGTTTTTGTTAATATAAATATGCATAATGGGGGTCGGCAGTCGTGTCCGGCTCTACACTTCACGCACCTCACCCTGGGAATGCCCCTAAGCTATTTTTACCCCCGAATTCCTCCTTATTTTGTTGTCAGTTGCAATTCAGTGACGCGGTGTCAGTTTGCGGAGGTTTACTCCACGTGCGCCCTATCGCGTAAGTCCTTAGCGCAGAGTTTATTTCCTCGTGCGCTATTGTCAAACTGCGTGTATATTTTATACATACAAAATAATTATCATGTTTAAATGTATTATTTCATTTATAATTATTATCAAATATATTTTATTTGCATGTATATGTATAACTGCATTATTGCGGAACAAAACTCCGCAAGCGCCCTCTCTCGTAACATACCTTTATGCTAGAAAATAACTCAATATGATTATTTGAAATATTACTCATATAAAGTTAAACAAATAATGTTATTAACAAAGAAATCAGGTTTCTGATTAGGTTATTCAACACTTACATATAATATTTCATTATAACAACAAGTAAAATGGATAAAATTTATGCTATTTAGTGTTGCGGAAGCGGAATAAAACTCTGCATGCGCCCGCTCCTGTTTTACTGGTGAAGCGCCTCCTCGAGGGTTAAAAACCGATTTATTTTGGTTATGGAGTTGAGTTGTGAGATGACTTTCGAGTGGAAATATTAGAATATAAAAAGACAGAGTGTTGAAATAGAAGTAACTGTGTTAT